AATTTACTCTGTGTGAATTGGTAAGAGAGGACCTTGGTGTCAAGTTGGCGATACTTGGTTCTCTTTGTTTGTTCTCTTAGAAAATGTTTTTTTTTTGCTTATCCCTAGTACACGTGGTACAGGCCATGATAATCATGGTGGGTAGTTAGCGACTGCTTTTACTGTAAGTGCACCACATATCTACACATGTGAAAAGCAGTTCGACCTTACACTTACAAATGTGCCAGAGCCCCGTTTGGTTACTTACACTCGCTGGTGGGGTTGAAAATGTCTTATGATTGTTTTGTGTTTGTTATTAAAGTTTAAAACATATTTAAACTTTATATATTATATTCAATGAAGACCAAAATTACTTAAACATCACAATTAATTATATATCAAAACTACAAAACATTAAGCCATCTATTTTCAGTTTTGTTTTTGTCGCCGGTCAAATATTTTCATTTTCACAGACTAAATTTTATGAGATTAATTTATAAATTAAATATTATGCAAAACAAATAAACAACTATATACATCAATGATTAGCATTACTTATTTAATGAATATTAAAATTAAAAATATTATGTGCGTACGTGTTTCAATGAGATAGGTGTAGGTGTTAATATATTAGCTATATTAAAAGTTATTTAATGTTATTTGAAGGTATATATTGTTATGTCGTACCCAGACGCTGTTCGTGTTCTTTGTCTAATCCGGATGCCACAAAGATAGACACGTGAGTTCGAAGGGATGCAGCAAAAGTTAGCGCTTTGTTATACGTGGCACTAAACAGAAGGAATACAATTAGTGGAACTTGTCTTCAACTTCCCTGTCAGAAGAATTCTTGGCGTTGTGGATGTCACTCTTGGGAAACTTTCCACTCCACACTGTACATGTCCAGCCTAGACTACACCGGCTTGTAGGCCGCTCCGATGTCAGGTTCTTCTGGCACCGTCTTACAGGGTCATCCACACCTGGAGACAACTCCCAACGTCTTCTACTTGCCACAGATGTTGTAACGTCCTCGTATTTGTTGACGTTAATCAGCAAGAAGTATTTGGAAGTTAAAAGTCTTTATTTCTTTTAGGCTAACATCAGACATAATATAAATTATATCAGACATAAGTTTACATGTGATATATATTTGTTATATATTTTTAATAATGTTAGAAATAGATTCGACAACGTTGTGTTGTAAATATAAGATGTATTCGAATAAACTTTTTTCCATTTGTTTACCGCCTTCGATGTCACACCTCAAGTATGTACTTTTATTTTTATTGTGGGTTATATTATGTAATCTCATTCCAAGATAATTAAAACATTTAAAATCAACCCATACCCTATCATTTCAAATACAAGGCCCACTTTTATACACAACAATATTACAATAAGTCAAAAAGCAACTGTACAAAGTACCATCAGTAATAATAATGTGCTCACTGATAATTTACTATATAGGCATGCCAGCTGCCGTTACAGATGTGACCAGAATGCCCGTTGTCCTCTCCCCAAGCTGGAATGCTGTTTTTGGCGCTTCACACATGGCAGCTGGAGTCCACCCCTCTTTCCCCAACTTTACTCTGGAATCTTGGTCACCCATTCTAAAATATGTTACGATATTTGTTAAAATAATTGATTTTTAGGAAAATAATATTTTGTCCTCGTCAGAAGCGAACAAAAATCAAAACATTTGGCAAAGAGTTAAAAATTATCCTAAGGCTGCAAAGGCATTCTCAACGCGATATTTCAAAATTGTTCGCTCCTGACAAGGACAAAGGATTTTTGTCGAAACGTCGAGATAATAAAAAGATTTACTGGTCGAAGTATCTTTAATTTTAAGAATTATGAAAGCTGGCCAGGCAGCCTCTATCTTTACGATAAGAATTATAGCCTAAAAATAGATTTTTGCCTTTATATGGAATATAATTAATGAAAATTATTTCATTTATTCAGCGCTATGCCTTAATCAGAAATTAAAGAGAATTGATATATTTGAATATTTATACAGTATGTAAGGTATTTGTAGGGTTTCAAATTAAATATATAAAATGTATTGTGTGTGATTTATTATTTGTTTTGAATTTTTTGCACACACCAGCTTTGATAAACCCGGAATATCCCCTGAAGAAGTCGGTTTCGGACAATATGGCCTTAATCAGTACAGTAAAGTCTCAGTTTGACAGGAATTATACACATAAACTTCTAAAATCTTTCGAATTTCACAATTCCCATCAGAAAATTTAACAGTGATATCTATCAGGAAAATTTAAACTAAATGGGTTGAATTGTAAGGAAATTGTAAAAGAGCTCTAATAATTACCTTTATGCAAATAATCTCTATGTAAATAAAAAAAGAAACGAAACCTATTAAAAGCAAATAAAATTCAATACGAAAATGAATTTATCCAAATATAAAGAGAGCGTAATAGGAAAAATATATTCATAGGATACAAACGTTCAAATTCTATCTTCAAAATAAAATAGAAAATCCAATTATAGAAAACTTTATTAAAACAAACATTTGCAAAAAAAAAAAGTTGAATAAATATTTTAATTTTCTATTTAAAAACCACACAGACGATGTTTATAGCCTCCTGTTCTAAGAAAGGAAACCCCCGCGGCAACCATACAAAAGAATAATTAGATGCAGTGTGACCGAGTGAGTTTTTACGACCAGATCATTGAATGCCATGTGGGTTAGATTAAAGTTTAAAAGTGATTTACAACACTGCCAAAGTTTATATTGATTTTTGTTTGATGGGTTTATGAATGCTGGTTTTGAAGTTTATGGCAATATTTTTTATATATTTCAAAATTGCATGAATTTTATTTTTTACGATTTTTGGAGTTGAAAAATGTGTATATTCAAGCTTATATATATAATTATTTACAAAAGTACATAATTAAATTTTATTATTTATAGTGTAGAATATATATGGTAATTTAAACCAACAACCTCATATTGTATATAATATAACAAGATTGCCATGTTGTATTAACACCTCTGTAATAATTATACGCATGATTGACATGTGTCATTACATCATCATATGTAATGTACTTTGTACAAACTGAGGATAAATAAATAAAACTCTGTAATAGATTAAGAGTTATAGAAGTCCAACAACGTTTAAAAACGAGGCTTACAAGATCTCAGGACGTTGCCAGGAGTGTATAATGACATCTCTTCCAATCCACGCCTTTATAGAATCCGCTGAAACCCATTACTTCCTCTTGGCAAAGATATATAAGAACTCCACCCTAGCCGAAAACAAGTTACTTCACCATCAGCGGGAGCCCTCGTCACTTCATCTTCTGATGCTCGGCCATGCCGCAGATCAGTTAGAAAACTTCTTATCTCAACATCTTTCGCTCCTAGCTCGACTCTATCTGTTCACGGACTTTCCTAGTACATCTGTGACCCTTTTTTTTTTTTGTTGTTGTTGTTGTTGTTTTTTTTTGTGTGGTCATTCCCAAGTCTTCCACTCTGCCTCGACCACGACTGCCTGTATTCTGTGAGAATTGTTTAAAGGTCTTCCAAAGTGCAGAGAGGTACTGGAAAACTCTCCACACCCTGACTGTCTTTCTCGGTTACTACAGGTTTGACCCTCTAGGATACCACAGTATAGCGAGAAACCCTCAGGATATCACAGAATATATATATATTAAAAATAAAACTTTTAAGCACGAATATTTCTTTGAAAACAAAACAAATTTCTACTGTCTTTACTGCGATGATAAAATATTAGGAGGGCTTGGCCATCATTAGTGAACCCTTCCAGCGGTTTCGCCAGTTCTCCAGACCGCTTGAAGAGCTCTAATACTGTATTTGATCATCCTGCCTATATATGCAACACTGAAGGATGGAATCATAGAAATGGTATTTAAGCAAACTATGGACATAAGCTTTTAGGACAGTAGAATTACATATAAATATTTGCATCGAGCAATGCTTTTCCTCAGACAATAGAGACAAGGCCAATAAGGCAAAAGCCGCTGGAAGGGGTTCACCAATGATGAACCAGGCCTTCCCAATATCGTTTTAACGCAGTAAAGACAGTAAAAGGTTTATCTTAAAGATAGAGGCTGCCTGGCCGGCATTCATAGTTCTTCAAATTAAAGAACATTCGGCCTGTATAAACATTTTAATTTGAATTATTAAGGGAATAAAAATATTTATACTGGCCGAAGTATCTTTAATTTGAAGAAGTAAAAGGTTTGTTTTATTTTAAAAAGAAAAAGTCATGTTTAATTAGTGTTTTTATTATATAAATGACGCATTATGGCGCTTTTCAATAGAGTAATATTGTCACTAAATTTGCATATTGTAGGTATGTAAATAGAGAATTAATTAAAAGCAATTGTTTTGCTAATATGTAAATTAGGGAGAAATTTTTTTTTTTCCTTTTCTTTCAAGTTTGTTGAATATAAAACTTCATTTTTTCCCTCCCTATCTCTCTTTCAGTTTATAGGAAATTTAACTATAAAATTCCACTACGGTTTCACTTTGCGTCTTTTATATATAATTGCGACATTTTAACTAGGTAGCAAGCATTATAATCTAAATTATCTGGATATAAATATATATTTACATATTTTGGAGAAGAAAAATAAAGTTCAAAAGGTTTTTGAATGATTTATAAAAAGGATAAAGATTATCTCACGCAGAGGCTTTGGCTACTATGCGTCGTTAATGCGGAATAGAAAAAATGAAGAAATTAGAAGGTTAGAGTAGGAAAATAGCTACGAGAGAGATACCAACAAACCATGATAATATTTATTTAGAATTCGAACATCTTAGAGAAAAATATTTGGTTATTTCAAAGTATTTTCCAATTATATTTTTTAAAATAATTATTTATAAACAATACTTAAAATTATACCGCATAAGTTTCTTTTTCTATGAAAAATCAATATTTATTTTAAAGAGAAATATTTAATATTTCTAACTTTTTTGAATGAAGTATGAGAGGGTGAAAATATGAAGAGTAATGGCGAACGGGAAAAATAAAAGTGTCCAGGGGCGGGAATCGAACCCTTAACCTTCTGCTTACCGGGCAGGTGCCATGTCCACTAGGCTACCCTGGACGTTATTTCTCCGTTCGTAAATAATACTTAAAGTAACTTATAATACATTATAAAGGACTGCGGCGTATTAAGTATTGTTTATAATCACACGCCGCAGTCCTTTATAATATAATTATTTATATTTATATGAAAATATCTCTAGCGCAAATTGAAGAAAGCAAATAAATATTGTTTTAATATGTATATTGAATAGTGAAAACTTTAATGGTTCAAAGGGGTGAAACATATAAGTTTTAAAATATATAATCTACAAAATAATTAATATCAAATTAAAATTACTTTATACTTTACCATTTTATTACAGCGGTATGGTAAATTAAACTGGCGAAACCGCTGGGAGGGTTCACCACTGATGAGCCAGGCCCTCCCTTTAATTTTTCCATCGCAGTAAGGACAGTAGAAATTGTTTGATTTTTAAAAGAATCATACGCGTCTATAATAGTTTCGAATTTCAATAACAGATGGCGCGCTAATGCATCTTAATAAAATAAGTATTATATAAAGTTCGAAATAACAGTTTCAGATTTTATATTTATTTATATAAACCTTTTTATATTTAAACTATAATTAACAAAGTCGGTGGACGAGTAGGTAACACCCTCGATTCCCGACAGTCATGAACCAGGATTGAATCCCACGTAAACATTTTGTTTAATATGTGAACAACCATCATTTATTATTCATTGTTTCAATTATCATAAACTAGGTTGTTCTTGTTGAGCGGTACCTATTAATGTGATTTTGAACTTGGAACTTGAAAACTATAATTTGAAGTCGGTGGACAAGTGGGTAACACCCTCGATTCCCGACAGTCATGAACCAGGATTGAATCCCGCGTTAACATTTTGTTTAATGTGTGAATAACCTTCACATATTATACACTGTTTCAATTATCATAAACTAGGTTGCTCTTGTTGAGCGGTACCTAATAAAAAAATAAACCTATAATTTGTGCATTGATGGAAAGCTAGTGAAATGGCCCTCTATTCTAATCAATGTCACCGCTTTACCAGAAGTTCTGGGACCCAGGTGAAACTGGAACGCGATAATTTTTATAATTTAAACTATTAAAGAATAATATAACTCCGCCTTTACCGGTCCCAAGCCCGGATGAAAAAGGAGGAGGGGGAGCAGTAACAAGCTCACTAAAAAACCTGGGTTCAGCTGGCCCGGCTGATAGTACCCTGTAAGGGCTCCTAATCCAGGGATACAGGATGAGCAGCGTTTGTACTCCATGTTAGGAGCAGCTGCACATGGCGTCTGTTCCTCATGTCAGAGGCGGCCATTTCATATTGGAGCTAAGTCGGCACTGAGTAGTGCTCCCAGTCTTAATGACAAAGGCCATTCTACTTCACCCAGTGTGGAAATAAGAAAGAAGATAAAGAATAATATTATTTAACAATATGAATAGATTCATTTTTAAAATTAAATATTTTAAATAGTTAAATCCTTTCTTATAATAAGTTTATTTTATTAACTTTATAAAAACTTATTCCGAAAAGATTTTATTCTATTTTTATAAATGGAATAGACCAAAAATATAAATTATTAAATTATTCCTTAACTTTTTTTTTGCATTATATGTATATATTTTCACAGAATAAAATTTATCTATGAATCCAAGGGGACCAGTTTTAAATTTGAAAATAAAATATTTTTGTTTTTAATGAATTCTTCTTTTTTTAAAATATTTAATGAATATAGACACATATTAAACAAAATCTAAATTAAATATGCTTAAAATATATCTCCGTAATTAAAAAGTATCCTTTAAAATTGGGATTATTTTTAAATAATATTATTATAAATAGTAAATTGAATTTGAAGATTAAATTTTCTTAAAAAGACAGATTTTTTTTCTCATTTAACAATTTGTTGTTTCAAAGGTTAAATTTAGTTTAACATTTTTTAAAAAGGATATAGTAATGTTTTGCTTTAGGATCAAATTTAATTTTTCAACATTGGATAAAAAAAATCGTTTGTGTTCTTTTTATTTACAATATATTTAATAACAACCGTTTTTGTAACTCGAATCTAAGAATTAATCTTAAAAATCAATAAAAATCATTCGAGGATTATATGAGATTTTTGCTCGAAGGTAATTTTTGTAAAAGCTTTTAACGTCACGACGGGTAAATCTAGCGTTAATTATTGACAGGAATGAAAAATGATGATAAATATGAATAAAGTTATCTATTTATAATGATTTATCATTAAGAATGATAATGGAAATAAAATGACTTCTATAAGAGCCTCGTTTAAAGCGAATTTTATAGCAAATTTGTATACAAACGTCAAGTTATAATTATAGGTATTTTATAAACACAAATCATAAAAAGGTTTTATATATTTTGTTATTCTAAAAATTATTTATTATTTAAAATGATCAGAAAGGTAATGGTATTTATAAAATAAATTATATTTATAATATTTTAGTATAAATGTATAAACTCATGGACAAAACGTCAATTTAAAACGTTGATTTAGCCTGTTCGGCCAACCTATTTTCGCGGCCTGGTCGTTAAATAAAGGTGGTTGTTTAAGAGACATAGAATCGTTAAAAAAAAGCCTGATCATTAAATGTGGTTAAAGAGTTAAAGAGACTATATCGTTAAATAGGCGTGGTCGTTATACATACGTGGTCTTTAAAGAGGCGTGGTCGTTAAAGAGACGTGGTCATTAAAGAGACATGATTGCTAAAGAAACGTGGTCGTTAAAGAAACACGATCGTTGAAGAGGAGTGGTCGCTAAAGAGGTGTGGTCTCTAAAGAGGCGTAGTGGTTAAAGAGAGAGAGAGATTTGACCATTAAAAAGTCGTATATTCAACATTTAAAATATTACTCAATAAAAAATTCGAATATATTCGCTAATATTTCACATTAGGTTTGGTTATATTTTATAATATTATGCCTATATATATAATACGATTTCCTTTTTGGCATCTGCTGCAATAAGTATTGTTAAATATTCAAAAGTTCTGCGGTAAATTCTAATTTATTCTCTCGTCGACTAAGAAGATAAAATGGGAGGAAGAATATAATAGCGTTTTAAATATATAAATGAATATTTTAAATATTTATATTGTTTGAAAATCCTTTGTCAAAATATATTAAAATATATAATCTACATATATAAATGTATATATGCAAATATAGTTGATGATATGAGAATAAAAGTAAATAAGCTTATCTTTAAATAATGGTTTTCAAAGTAAGGATTTAGTCTTCTGCGCGTATTTTTTAAGCTAAAAAGTAAATTGATTCAAAATACACCTTATTCAGGAGATGAAGTAATTCAGATACTGTAAAATTTCGTTATTGTCAGATTTTCTGGGGGTTTTTTTTGCCAAAAGAGAAATATAATTAGTTTGGCGTTATGTCATAATTTTATTTTATAAATATAGGTAAAATATATGTGTTAAAATATGTGTTTAAAATCCTTTCATTTTATATGTATAGATGGCGTGTTATTGCTTTGTGTTAATTTATGCCTAACTGGCCTTGTCTTTATTGTTTGCGGAAGAGCATTGCTCGATGCAAATATTTAAATTTAATTCTACTGTCCTATAAGCTTATGTCCATAGTTTTCTTGAAAACCATTTCTGAGATTCCATCCTTCAGTGCTGCGTATATAAGCAGAATCGTCCAATACAGTATTAGCCTTAAAATGCTTATCAGATAGCATGTAGAAGGCGGAATAATTGTTACTACGTCCAATACAGTATTAGAGCTCTGAGAAGCGGTCTGGTGGATTGAATTGGCGAAACCGCTGGGAGGGTTCTCCACTAATGAGCCAAGCCCTCTCAATATATTTTTCATCACAGTAAGGGCAGTAGAAGTTTGTATTATGTATAAAAGAAACATTCGTGCTTTTAAAATCCTTTCACTTTATAAAATAAATGTGTTTCAGCAATCCTGGCAGTGCAGAAGATAGGAATGTGTATAGCCCTAATGTTTACATTTTGTTAATTTTGATATTCTCTAATTAATATGTTTGTAATTTTAGGTAAAGATAATAAAATATTATCTTAATTTGTAGTATGTTAAATAAACTACAAAATTGAAAATATGGAAATCTATGCCAATCTATAAATTTCATAAAAAATTAATGAGATATATAAATGAAATATAAATCTTGATTCTCTCTCAAAAAGAATCATACGGGTTGAAAATAATTTACATTTCTGATAACAGATTGCGCGGCAATACACATCATAAGTGGAGTTATAAATAAAAGACAAAATTCGCTTAGGGAGGAATTTATTTTTTATCACGACAAGCTTTCGGACATAACAGACCTTCTCCAGGTATAACTACGGCATTAAAACTCAGAAATTAAATAAATCCATATATATATATGAAAAATAATAGAAAAAAAAGTGGGTCAGGTGTTGATATTAAAAACAAAGTAGGCATATCCTGACTAAGAGCACATGTGCTTTACAGAAGGCAGAGCGCTATCTAGTGGAACAGAAATCAACTAAACATTGATTTAGCCTGTTCCCTGATATTTGGCCAACCCAATTTCTTGATAAATCAAGAAAAACCATCCACGAACGCGTTTCGCGCTGTTGGTGCTCGTCAGTGTGGAGTAGGCTGTAACCACTGCGACCAAAAAGATATTTGGTCCCAGAGGCTTCCTGAAAAACCAAGAAATATGTATTTGAGGCCAAACTTGCGTAAATACGCTTAACACATGAAAAAATGAAAGAATATTTTTTATCTTTCATTTTTTCATATATATATATATATATATGTTATATTAAGATATTATTTAAAAGTTATATTAAAATATTTTATTTAAAATTATAATTTCATAGATATAAATACTCTGTATAAATCGACCGCCAGAGGTCACGCTTTCTCTATAAATACTCATTGTTGTTGTTCCCCGATGGCCGACCCAAAACTTTGTAATTATGTAAATACGCATTGTTGTTCTTCCCCGGTTGGTCGGCTCAAACCTTTTGTATATTATGTAAATAAGTATTGCATTTTTAT